AGGGCTGGCTGGCATGTGGTTCTGGGGGATTGAACTGCGGTCCCTGTGCTTTGCTAAGCTTGTTCTAAGTAGGTGCTTTAGACCACTGAGCCATCTCACCAGCCCCCTGTTAATGTATTTTAGTACAGGGTCTCGCTACAGATCAGCCTCCCCAGTGCTGGAATTGGTTTCCTGCTCGGCACACCTGCCTGGGGCGGGGCCTGCACAGCATGTGGTGCTGGGGCTTGAACCCCAGTCCCTGCACTCACCTAAGAGGGTGCTCAGTCACTGAGCTATCTCACTGGCCCTAAAATCAATTATAAGTGGTTGGAGATGTGGCTCAGTGCCACAGCACCTGTGTGGCAAGTACAAGGTCCTGAGTTCGATTCCCAGCATCCAAAAAAAATCAATTAAAATTAGCTACATGTATCTTCCATGTATTAATTATTGTAACTGTCCTACTAACCTGTTTTGAAACTGTCTCACTGCTATTTTTCTCATTAAAATAAAAATTTTTTTAAAATTAGCTACATGTAGGAATAACTGAAGATAGGTACTCTCATCCAATTAACGTGAGCACAGTATAGAATAATGGTACATAGAACCGATGCTAAAAATGCCATCGATTTGAAAGCTAAAACCTAATGACATGTAAAAACCATGTTAATAGAATTAAGACTGTGGCCAGGGATGGAATCCTGCAATCCCAGCATTTGAGAGGCTGAATTAGGAGGACCACCTGGATTCAAAGTCAGCCTGAATACAGCCTTTAAAAAAAAAAAAAAGAAAGAAAGAAAAGAAACAATTCCACTTTGAAAATAACAAATTGTACATGTGAAGTGGAGAAGACAGTATTATTTTAGTAAGACTACAGTATGTGTTCAGAAACATGACTTTTTAAAAGCTGTGAGTTCACATTCACACAAACCTCACAAACAGGATCAGGATCAGCAAACTATGGCCCTACAGGCACATCTTATCTGCATAGGCTTTGATAAGGTAAGAACAGAGATAGGTTCCTGCAACACTGCCTCTCGGGGCTACAAAGCTGAAAATATTTGCTGCCTGAAACTTTACAGAAGTATGCTGATTCCTGATAAGGGCCAGGATCAGACAAGAAAGGCAATTGCCTGAAAGGAAAATTTAATGGAGCCCAAACTAGGCACTTGCTGGGTGTGGTAGTGCACACCTGTAATTCCAGCACTGGAGGCTGAGGCAAATGGTGTACAAGGCCAGCCTGTCTAAGGAAAAGCAAACAAATTTAAAAAAAGAACCACCCTAAGCAAAATAAAAACTATTGAAGTAAGAGAAAAATATCTGTAATATTGAGATAGCTCATAACTTAAAAATGTTGCATTTTAAATTATGGAATTTAAAATTCTAACATTGTTTTCACCACAATTTTTTGCACTGATTTTTAACTTTCCTTAGTGGGTCAGCAAGATTGTTCAGTGAACTAAGCGCCTGCTTTGGCAAGCATAGGGACCAGGGCTCGACCCCTGGTCCCACATACCGCACTGACCCTGTCTCTGGGGCGCGCTGATCCTGCAAACTAGTCAGGGTGTGGTGGCGCACACCTGTAATCCCAGTGCTGAGGAGGCTAAAAACAGGAGGATCACCATGAGTCCTAGCTATGTGAGACCCCGTATCAAATACATAAATTAAAAAAAAACCCAAAAAAACCAAAAGCCAAACTTCCATTAGTTATTTGTCCGGACTACTGAGATTTGTGGCTTACCCTCTATTCTTACACTATATTAGTGGAGTTAGGGTCTCTTTATATAATTGAGGCTGTGCCTAAACTCGCTATGTAGCCCACTCTGGCCTCAATCTCGAGAAAACCTCCTGATGCTGGGATTACAGGCTCACACCATCATGCCCACTAGCCGTATGTTTGAACCCAAAACGAAGACTTCATTTAGCTCTCTCTAATGCCAGCCCTGCCCCTGAGCTGTTTCCTGGCAGGGCACCTGTAACTCCCGTAGGTAACCTTAGACAGGAGTCAAGTGTCTTCTGACAAAGAACCAGCATATCCAATCATACTCAGAAAACAAATCCAAGTTTGAGAAAAGTGTGGTGGCTTTGCTCCTCTACTACCTAATGGACAGAAACAATGCTCAAAAGGGATTTAGGGGCCAAGCGTGATGGCGCATGTCTATAACCCCAGCACTTGGGAGGCTGAAGCATGAGGATCACTCAGAGTTGGAGATCATCCTGGGATACAAAGTGAGCTCAAGATCAGCCTGAAATGCATGAGACCTCAAAAAGACACACACAGGGGCCGGGGAGCTGGCTCAGTGGAATAAGTGCTTCCTTGGAAGCGCAAGGGCCTGAGTTCAATCCCCAGTTCCGCCCCCCCACCCCAAAAAAGGAAAGAAAAATTTACGAGAAAAAAAAAAAAAAAAGAAATTCTAAGGGCCAGCCAAACAGCTCAGCGTATTATAGAGTTCCATCCCCGGGCCTGCCATGCCAGCCCCGCCCCCAGGGCGCGCTGAGATGGCAATTGAGACTGGGCCTGGGGGTGCGCACCTATAATCCCAGCTCTTGGGAGGTTGTAAACAGGTGGATCACTACAAGTACAATCTAGTAGTGAGACCCTGAACACCCTGTAGACCCTTCCCCCCCAAAAAAAAAAGAAAAAAAAAAAAGAAATTCTAAAACCCAGTAACTTTTGTTTCTCTCCCATTCTGCTTATACAATACTTGTAGTTTGGAGAACTTTAAATATTTTAACTAAAGTCTATGTCTTTTCCATTACCAACATTATAAACATAAGATGAAAAATAATTATATTTGTGTTTAGTATCTCAGTTCAATACTTGAAAAAGCACAAGGTAATAAAACAGAGTTTGCACAAATGAGGTTACCTGACTAATTTGAAGTTCCCTTTGGTCCCTGGAATGTCTGTAGGAAACTCATCAGGGGTACCACTTCCACATGACCTATAGCATTCTGGTCGGGGACAACTTGGGTCATCAAGTTTATAAATCTAAATGTTTCAATTAAAAAAAAAATAGGGATTTGTTATCTACACAACAATGAAAGCTAAAGAATTTCTAGTTTCAAAGTAGACAGCTCACCTTAGCATTAGCATATCCAAGTTTGATTGTAATGTTTCTTTCTAGTTCATTTTTGAACCTGACAGTGTGAACTCCAGAAATGGCTTTTACAACTGTGGATTTCCCATGAGCTACATGACCAATGGTTCCTACAGAGAAAGTACAAAAAAAAAAAAAAAGAAAAAAAAAAATCAACTCACATGCATTTAATCACACCAAATATTTTTTTCAAATTGTGTTAAGAGTAAAAAACTTGGGCCAGGGTGATAGCTCACTGGCATAAGCACCTGCCTGGGAAGCACAAAGTTCTGAGTTAGATCCTTGGTATCCCCCCGCCAAAAAAAAAGGCTGGTAAGATAGTTCAGCAGACTAAAGCACCTGCTTAGGCAAGCTCAGGGACCGCAGTCTGATCCCTGGCACATGCTGCACCAGCCCCTGCCCTGGCAAACTGAGCAGCCACAGAGTTGGGCTACACCTGTAATCCCAGGGCTGAGGAGGCTGAAAACGGGAGGATCACTATGAATCTGAATCCGAGCTGCATAGTGAGACCCTGTAACAACCAAATACATTTAAAAAATAAAATAGGGGTCAGAGAGATAGCTCAGTAGAATAAACACTTGCCTGGCAAGCGCAAGGGCCTGAGTTCAATCCCTGGTTCTGTCCCCCCACCCAAAAAAAAAAAAGAAAAGAAAGAAAGAAAACTAAAAAATAAAATAAGAAAGAAAACAAACTAAAAAGTAAAATAAAAAAATTTTGCCAGGCTTGGTGGTACACACCTTGTAATCCCAGCACTTGGGAGGCTGAGGCAGGAGGATCCTTGCGCATGAGACCAGCCTGAACTACACAGTGAGCTAAAAGCCAGCCTGAGCTACACAGTGAGACCCTGTCTTTAAAACGAACAAAAAACCTCCCTCAATATAAATCAGTGTAAAACCAACAGTGACTTGAATTTTTACTCTTATATATCTTTTCCCACTAGAAATTTGTTTTGATACACAATGGAAGTACTTTCCATGTAATTAATAACTTTATTTAAAAACCATCTTAAAAAAATAAAAAATAAAAAAAAATAAAAACCATCTTAAGGGCCAGCCAGATAGCTCAGCGGGCTAAAATGCCTGCTCAGGCAGGCCCAGGGACCAGGATCCCTGGTGCCCAGCCCAGTCTTGGTGGTACATGTCTATAATCCCAGAGCTTGGGAGGCTGAAAACAGGAGGATTACTACAAGTGTAATCTGTGTAATGAGACCCTGTACTAAAACAAACAAACAAAAAAACATATTAAGCATTAGGGGCTGGGGAGATAGCTCAGTAGAGTAAGTGCTTGCCTGGCAAGCACAAGGTCCTGAGTTCGATCCCTGGTACCACCAAAAAAATAAAAACCATACTAAGCATAAACTGGGTGTGATGATGGGCACCTATAATCCCAGCATTCTTGGAGGTTGAGGAAAGAAGAGGGAAAGTACAAATACCACCTAGATAATTCGGAATATTCTCTCTCAACAATAAAACAGGGCCAGGGAGATGGCTCAGTGGAATAAGTGCTTCCCTGGCAAGCACAAGGACCTGAGTTCAATCCCTGGTTCCACCAAAAATAAATAAATAAATAAAATAAAATAAAATAAAATAAAATAAAGGGGCTCGGGAGATAGTTCAGTGGCACAAACACTTGCCTGGCAAGCGTAAGGTCCTGAGTTCAATCCCTGGTTCCACCAAAAAATAAATAAATAAACAGCGACAGAGATAAAGAGAGAGATAAAAATAGATAGAAAATAAAAGCAGCCAAGGGTTTGATCCCCATGTGCTGGGCCAGGTCTGCCCACGGGGTGCACTAAAACAGGGACTGAGACTGGGTGTGGTTGTGCACCCCTGTAATCCCAGCACTTCAGAAGCTGAGCAAGGAGGATCACCATGAGCTCAAGGCTTAACCTGAACTGGACAGTGAGACCCCCGTCTTAAAAAAAAAGTGAGGGGACAGGGATATAGCTCAGCGGCATAAGCACGTGCCTGGCAAGTACAAGGTCCCAAGTTCACTCCCTGGTATGGAAATGGATTTTTAAAAACACTTTAATTTAAAAGGAATTCTTCTCGTTTGGGTCCTCCTTTCCAAGATGACGAAAAAAAGAAGGAACAATGGTAGTGCCAAAAAGGGCCGTGGTCATGTGCAGCCTATTCACTGCATGAACTGCGCCTGGTGCCTACACAAGGATAAGGCTATTAAGAAGTTTGTCATTCAGAACATAGTGGAAGCTGCCACCATCAGGGACATTTCCGAAGCGAGTGTCTTCCATGGTTATGTGCTTCCCAAGCTGTATGGGAAGCTGCATTATTGTGTGAGTTGTGCCACTCACAACAAAGTGGTCAGAAATTGATCTCGTGAAGCCCGCAAGGACCGAACTCCTCCACCCCGATTTAGACCTGCTGGTGCTGCCCCACGACCTCCACCAAAGCCCATGTGAAGGGAGCTGGGATTTAACGGACTAAAGAAAACTCTCTTGAGAAAGAAATAATAAATTGAATGTTATACTTTATACAGCATGTTGAGCGTACCTGCCAGAGGTGGGTTGGTTAATTCAGCCTATCCAAGTTTAAGTTTGTACTCTGAAGAGGAACACACTGCAGGGGTGGGGGGAGGAATTCCTGACTGGATGAGGTAGCAGAAGAGGATTTCTGAGGCAGACGAGCCTCGGGCTCCTGCGTTGGCCATGGCTGAGAGGCCCGAGGACCTAAACCTGCCCAATGCCATCATCACCAGGATCATCAAAGAAGCAGTGAGCTGCTAGGGCAAGTGGGTGGCCGGGTGCGGACAAAAAGGCCAGAAGGAAGCGGGCCCTGGGCCAGGCAGCTGTGCTCATCCTAGTTCTCCTCAGAGCTCCTGGACGGTGTCAACATCTCCAAGGAGGCCCAGAGCGCAATCTCCCGCGCAGCCAGCATCTTTGTGCTATATGCCACATCCTGTGCCAACAACTTCGTAATGAAAGGGACATGCAAGACACTCAATGCCAGTGATGTGCTCTCAGCCATGGAAGAGATGGAGTTCCAGCAGTTTATTACTCCATTGAAAGAAGCTCTGGAAGCATATAGGCGGGAGCAGAAAGGCAAGAAGGAAGCTTCAGAACAGAAGAAGGACAAAGACAGAAAAACATTCAGAACAGCAAGACTGGAGCAGGGATGAGGATAATGATGAAGATGAAGAAAGGCTGGAAGAAAAGAACGAAGAGGAGGAAGTAGACAACTAATATAGACCGTGGCACTGTGGAAGCCACCATGCTGATACATGGTGTATGTTTATGTGATGCTTTTCCCTGCTGGGCAGAGTACTCTTAGGCACAGGTGCTTGGGAGATCAGAATAAAAACTGACTGCAATTATCATCAAAACCAGCATTTCACTGACTCAAGAGTTTCTGAGTAGCAGAATCCTCCTTTGTTTAATCAGTCTGAAGGCTACAACTTTTTTGGTAAGAGGGATTCTGAACAGCTAATTCAATTAACGATGTGTTATCTTGCTTACTTACGTGTATGGTTATATACTTTTTTTTTTAATCACCAGTCTTCCTGCCCCTCTAAAACAATGACTGTAACTTCCCTACTGCCTGCTATGGTCCAGATCACACAGGCAGTGAAGGCTCAGGAGAAAATAGAACCTTGATCGTGGTCAGCCATATCTGATTCACAGTAGCTTATTAAGAATGTTCAGAATGGGCTGCCCATGACATGCCTGTAATCTCAGCTGTGTGGGAGGCTGAGACAGGAGAATTAAGAGTTTTGAGCCCAATCTGAACAACTCAATGAGGCCCTGTCATCCCCACCCCCAAAATAGACAAAAGAGCCTGCATATGTAGCTTAGAATTCCCTCACAACTGTGGGGTTTGTTTGTTTTTAATGATAATTTGTTCTATGGTTTCTTCACTTGACAGCATTAATTGAGTTCTGTTTTCTCTAAAGCTACCTGGCTTTGGGCCTTCCTGCGTTGCCTGTAGGCATCTGACCTGCTGCGGGTGGTTGCGCTCTGGGCACAGTGTGCTCTTAAGTTAGCAATGTACTTTGGAAGTCATCAAACAAACAGTGTTTTACAAAACAGATGACTTATTCCTAGGTTTACCTCACCCCTGCCACGGTACAGTTTAGAATTTACTGTCACCTCCTGAAAAGTGTAAAATCCGAGGCTTTCTCTTATTAGGTCCATCTCCCAGACTTGTGGCTATGATTTTTCTCTTTTATTCCTAACAAGTTAAGGGCTTTGTTCCATCCAAGCACAACATTTTCTCTCTGCGCTTCTCGCTTTCTATTTCTTGTCTGCCTGTCCTCTGCTTTCTGTTCCCACTTGCTCTCCCTTTCTAATCCATGTGCAAATCTAGCAACTTTGAACATATGCTCATATCCCAAAATGCAGGTTCCTTAATTCTAATCCGTGTCCTAAAAAGGATTTTGTGAGCCAAGCGTAGTGTCACATACCTGTAATGCCAGCACTTGGGAGACTGCAGCAGGGGAATCGTCACAAGTTCAAGGCTAGGCTGAACTACTTAGCAAGACCCTTTCTCAAAATAAAAAAGATTTTGTGAAAGTCCTCTGAATATTGAGAAAAATCTGATGGTGCTCAGGAATCTAACCCCTTAGCCTGGTCATCCCCTTGAGCTGCTTCTAAAGTGTCTGTGAACTTTTCTTAGCCTTTTCTCTTTTCAATTAGTGTTCTAGGTGCCTTTCTGTCTCAGCTGAGCACTCCACTCGGGATTTGACAGGTATAGTGTAGTTTGACACTGTTAACTTGTTAAATGCAAAGTTTGTTCATAAATGACTGATGACTGTTGAGATTATAATGCTTTGTACAAATAAAGAACACTTTTTATTCAAAAAAATAATAAGAGGAATTCTTGAAACCAATAAAACCTAAGTTTACTTACAGTAGTGCTACCGAGGATGGCATATAATTTATATCATTTTCACATCCTCATGGTAGAGGATTTTCTTTCTGAAACAACATCTCCCTAATGTTGCCCAGGTTGGCCTCAAACTTACAATCCACCTTAACTCCCAAGTAGCTAGGACTGTAAACACGTACCACTGTGCCTGGCTGAATTTTATTTTACTTTATTTTTATTTTTTTCCATTCTGTGCTTGGTACAGGGTGACTTTTATTTTTATCTACCTTTTACTGAACTGTAGACTCAAAGTGCCCAATACCTACCACTCAACATAACCTAGGTGCCAATTAAAAAAAAAAAAAACTTTAATCATGGCTTCTACATTAAATAAAATTTTTATAAACTACCCTTTCAATAATCCTGTGTGACAAGTAGAGCTACATTTTCACCACCTCCTTCAACTTCTGCCACAGGATTGCATACTGCTTTACGCTATTAAACGTTCCACGTCTGTATCTTTTCTTCTCATGTAATCTGTGAACTGTACACAGCAACTTTCTTATACCCCTTTCACCAAAAAAACTACTAGATGGTTTAATGCTCAAAAACAAAAGTTCTGTATTTGATTTTTATTATTTTTTTTGACATATAGTCTCACTATGATGCTGAGGTTGGTCTCAAATGATCCTCCTGCCTCAGGCTCCCTAGTAGCCGGGACTTAGGTGTGCAATCAGCTTCAACATTTATTCTTGAATATTTAAATCCTCACATTATTACACAAAAGGAGAGATTACTTAGAAATCGGGTCTCTAAGATATTTTTAACTTACCTATATTAATTGTTGCTTGTCTGCTGATTACTTCATGTGAAAGTGGCGTTAGCTTGGTAACATCCTACGATAAAGTATATCTACTTTAAAACATTATATACATACAGAACTTTTTCTTTGACACAGCTCCTTCCACGTTGAAACACCTTTCCCTTCTAAGCAATTTTATAGTCTGTCGGTAGTTAAGTCCTAAAAGACCCTGACCGGTAGACACCAGGCACCCACGCTCGCTAAGGGAGATCTGGAGGCGGAAGACTTCCAATCTTGGAGCCTTAGCGTGTCCTCGGTGTGCTACACTTAAAGACAATGTAGACACCCTGTTCCCAGACTTTCACAACTAAATACCTTAATGACATTTAACACCAAAACTAAGCCGAATCTTTCAAGAGCTCCAGACCCCCCAATCGTACATCCCCAGGCCCAGTCAGCTGAACGACCTAACAGCAGGCAGCTTTGGCGCCCGAATCTAGGGTTCCCTCCTAGCCCATACTCCCCATACTGTGGCACTGCCTCGTCCCAGCGCCCTCCGGGAGACTCGGCCATCCCTACTCTACATTTGACTACACCCTCTCAGTACGAAACCTTACCAAAGTAGCGAGGTCTTGGCGAGAAAGGTGCGGTTGCCCGAGAGTCACTCCAGCCTCACCCCCCGCCATCTTGCCAGGAGAAGCAGGAAGTGCTTGTGGCGCCCGCCTGACAGTACGCAGGTCCCCGTGGGCGGGGCGGAGAGGCGGGGCTGACGAGGGTGACTAGAGCCCGGGCCTGCAAAAAAGGAAGACGGCTGCAGCCGTGGCCTCCCTGTCCGGAGCTCTTTTTGCTTGAAGCTGTTCAGAGACTGTCTTCAGGCTTATTTAAAAAAGCCGTGCAAATTCGGAATGTCTTTGTTACAGACTTGTTAGCTATTTGTTCAGGCAAGGCTGAGGACAGCTCCATGAAAGGCCCCATGAGAGGCGGGTAAAGCAACGCGACACGCTCTCTGGCAAGGAAGATGCCGTTTCCGCTTCCTGTGGGGGGTGGCCCGAGGAATTTCTCGGAATCTGGGACTATTAGTGTGGAAAAGTTGAAAGAGGGGATGTGCCCTATTAATTTGTTTCTCATTTCTATCCATAATAAGGCAAGATCGGCTTGGGGTCCTCTTTGATCTGCGCTGGGCCGGGCGGCCTCAGGCTAAGCTGGGCACGCTCTGGTTGCTGCACGGTCGCCGGCTGGCGTTGGGCGGGGGCGCCCTCTCGTGGATATTTAATGCATGGTTCCGCTGTACAGTGCTGGCTAAAGGGCCAAGGTGTGGTCCCTTGTGTCTGTGTTCGGAATGTTTTCAACAGGTGGAAGTTAGGTGTCGTGACAGTGTCCAAAGTTCTTTGTTGTTGTTTGGTTGTTTCGGGGGGGAACGCTTTTTTTTTTTTTGGTCGTTAAGCCGGATCAAAGAAAACTCAGTTCTTCAGTGTAAAGATTATCAGTAAATCACTATTGGAGGGAAGGGGATTAATAATAAATTTTTCTTTTTTAAAATTTTATTTATTTATCAGCTACAGGATCTCGACACGAAGTTCATACTCTTAGTGATCCTCTTGTGTCAGCCTCCCCAGCGCTGGAATTACAGGTGTGCGCCGCCACGCCCAGTTTTGGGGCTGCCCAGCTATCTCCCCAACCCTTTTTCTTGAATTTTTTTTTTTTTTTTTTTTTTTTTTGGCGGAACCGGGGATTGAACTCAGATCCTTACATTTGCCAGTCAAGCGCTTATCCTACTGAGCCATCTCCCCGGCCCCCTTGAATTTTTGAGACAAGGTTTCACTATGTAATTCAAACAGGGCTTTAATTCACTGGGTAGCCCAGGCTGGCCAGGAACTCTTGGTGATCTTCCAACCTGAGCCTCCAGAGTTGCTGAGATATGCTCAGTGCCTGGACTGAATATGAGTTTTATATGGTAAATTTTAGGTAAAGCAATTTACCTAAAACAGGAAGTTATATTTTAGTGTATTCATTGGTTGAATGCTTGTGGAAGCTACAAGCTGTTTTTTGTTTTGTTTTGTTTTGCAGAACCAGGAATTGAACTCAGGCCCTTGTGCTTGCCAGGCAAGTGCTTATTCTACTGAGCCATCTCTCCAGTCCCCAAGCTGGTATTTGGGTGGAGATCTTTTTTTTCTTTTGATGTATTTAGTACAGCGTCTCACTATACAGATCAGACTTGTAGTGATCCTCCTGTTTTCAGCCTCCAAAGTGCAGGGATTACAGGCAAGTGCTACCACGCCCAGGGACGCTGGCCTCTGTGTCTGCCTAAGCAGGCACTTTAATCTGCTGAGCTATCTGGCCGGCCCTAAAACAACTTTACACTAAAGGTTTTTTTTCTTCTGTACCAGAGATCAAACTCAAGACCTTGCACTTGCCAGACCGGCACTTAAGCTGCTGAGCTATATCCCCAACCCCTTCAGACAAATCCTTTGACCGTAAATAGGACATAAAACACTATATTGACAGAAACCTATTAAAAGTAGAAACACCACAGTAAGCAATGATTATTAATAAAAATATTTAAAACCCATAATCTCAGCCTGCTCCAGAGGCTGTGGCAGGAGGATTCCTTGAACCAGGAGTTGAAGACCAGCCTCAGGAACATAGCAAGATCCCACCTCTTTAAAAAAGTTAACAATTATGGACCCAAACTAAATGAATATTAACGTTGTTTGATCCTCCCAACAACCAAATAGGTAGAGAATATTATTCCCATTTTACCAGTGAGGAAATTAAATTCTAGAAAGATTAAACAATATAACTGGTTATGGTGGCGCACTCCTGTAATCCCAGCACTCAGGAGGTTGAGACAGGAGGATTGCTGTGAGTTCGAAACGACCAGTCTGGGAGCTATAAAAATGAGCACAAGGCCAGCCCGAAATACACAGCAAGACCCTGTCTCAAAAAAAAAAAAAGATTAAATAACATATCCAAGAGCTTGCTTCTAGTAAACAGTAGAGCTGGGATTCAGAACAAAGTATGAATATTCTCTTTTTAAAAAATTCAGATTTCTTAGGCAAGGTATGGTATCCCACATCTGTAATCCCAGCTACTCTGGAGATTGAAGCAGGAGGCTGTCCAGCTCCAGGCCTGCCTGGACAATATGGTGGGAACTCATCTCAAAAAAAAAAAAATTATTGGGCTGGTGAGATGACTCAGTGGTCTAAAGCACCTACTTAGAACAAGCTTAGCAAAGCACAGGGACCGCAGTTCAATCCCCCAGCACCACATGCCAGCCAGCCCCGCCCCTTGGTGGGCTGAGCTGGCCACACACACACACACACACACACACACACATAGATAAATAAAATTTAAAAAAAATTATTGAGGTTTCACTTATATTTTATAAGATTAACTGATTCTAAGTATAGGACTCAATGAGTTTTAGAAAATGTACAGGTACATGCAACCATCACAATAATTCAGATTATGAACATTTCCTTCACACGAAAGATACCTGATATCTGTTTTGGGGGGAGGGATGAGACAGATTCTTGCTGTGCAGTTCAGCCTGGCCTTGAACTCACTGAGTAGCCCAGTCTGGTCTCAAACTCACAGTGCTCCTCCTGCCTCAGCCTCCCCAGTGCTGGGATTACAGGCATGTGTATCACCATGCTGGACTCCCGGTGTCTATTTTCAATTAATCACCATTCCCATATCCAGCCCCAGGCAACTATAGATAGACTCCCCATCTCTAAAACATTTCCTTTTTCTGGATATTTCACTTAAACACAATTACAATCTGTGATGTTTTGCATAGGGTTTCTTTCACTTAACATAATGGCTTTGAAGTTCACCCTTGTTGTGTCACGTACCAGTTTGTTCTTCTTGTTGTTGAATACAGTTGCATGTCACATTTTCTTGACCTATTCACTGATTAATAGATATTTGAATTGTTTCTACTTTGTAGCTGTTGTGAATAATGCTGCTGCTAATGAGCATTTGCATATAGATTTTCTTTCTTTCTTTCTTTCTTTCTTTCTTTCTTTCTTTCTTTCTTTTTTTCTTTTTTTTTTTTTTTTTGGAGTGGGGGATTGAACCCTGGCCCTTGCGATTGCCAGGCAAGGGCTTATGGGACTGAGCTATCTCCCCGGTGCCTCTTTCTTTCTTTCTTTCAGTGTATTTAGTACAGGGTCTACAGGGTCTCGCTACACTGATCAGACTCATAGTGACTCTCCTGTGTTCAGCCTCCCAAGCGCTGGGACTACAGGCATGCGCCACCACGCCCAGGTTCAGTCGCCATCTCAGGGACAACATATCTTCATGTCTGTGGGTACACATTTAGTGTAATTACTCATTATTATTGTAAATCTATGTTTAATAGTTTGAGATACATTTAAACTGTCTCCTGTGATTATGGGCGTGTGCCATCATGCCTGGCTACTCTCCTGGCAATATTGAAAGTTTCTTTTGTTGTTTTATGTAAATCTAATTTTTATCAAGTGTCATGAAATATTTTTGTGAGTGATCCTGTGGACTGAACCCTGGGAATGCTGAGCTACACCCCCAGTCTTTTAAATCTGAGACAGGGTCTTGGGAGATTGCCCAGGCTGGCCTCCAATTTGTGATCCTCCTACCTCAGGCCCCTCCTCCCCAGCAGCTGGGAGGAGAGATGAGCCACCATGCCCAGCTTATTTTTAAATTTATTTTTTTACATACATCTCAGCATTGGTTAACTAAAGTTTACACAGACCATTACTGATCAAGCAAATAAATTCAATAGCCATTTGGAAAAAAAATGAAATAAAATCCTCAAACTGCTGCACCGTTTTACATTCCCTCCAGTAAGGATGGATTTTTTTTTTCCTGGCTCAGGATACCTTAAGGGCAGGTCTGGTAAGGCGTGAGATTCTGGGGAACAAACCACAGTATCCTGAGCCTGACTGCTTTGCTTAAGCAGGCACTTAAACAACTGAGCTAATGTTAGCGGTTTTTTTAAAGAAGCATTCATTTTTGGTGGTAGCAGGGATCGAACTCAGGACCTTAAGCTTGCCAAGCAAGCATTTATTCCACTGAGTTATCTCCCCGGCCCCTCCCCTCCAGTAAGGAGTAAGGGCTCCAGTTTGCCCTTGGTGGCTGGCTTATTTTATTACAGCCAGTCCAGGACTTGTGGGGGTAATTTGCACTGTCCTAATGCTAATGAGTTCTGAGGGTCTTCATCTAACCTGGGGCCAGGCTCCGGCACTGCTGGGCCTAGGTATCTTTTCCAGGACTCACTGGCCACACATATTTCTTCTTTGGTAAAGCATTATTCAGAAGAGTTGGTCGTCTTCTCAGTGTTGATGATGATAGCGGTACTGGATGTTTAACCCAAAGCCTCTCCCATGTGCTCTAGCTGAGCCACACTCCCAACCCCTGCTTATCTTTTGTTTTGTTTCAGTTTTAAGAGTTCTTCCTGATCCTTCAGTTCATGAGCGTGATGATTGGGTGTTCATGCCTTAGGCATGAAATGTGCCTCCCTCAAACCTTGCTACGACTTGGGCACATTACCCATCTGAAGTGAAAAAAAAAAAAAAAGAATTCTTCCTATAGTCTAAATACAAGTCTTCGATGTAGTTTTTATTGTTTCATATCTTTTAATTTTTTTATCTTTTATTTATTTATGTATTTGATACTGGGTCTCGCTATGCAGCTTGGACTCATAGTGATTCTCCTGTCTCAGCCTCCCCAGCACTGGGATTACAGGCATGTGCCACCACGCCTGTACAGATGCAGGGCTGTACCGGGGATGGAACCAGGTCCTTGTGCTTGCCAGCCAGGCACTTGCACTGTGGAGCTATCTCCCTAGCCCCCCACATCTTTTTTTTATGAGTACATATTGGTTAGACAGATTAATAAGGTTCTATTTTGAATACAAATCCTTTATCGGATGTAGAATTTACAGATGCTTCTTCACAATGTGTAATTTGACTTTCCACTTTCTTATGTTGTATTTGGAGTTTTGTTGTTTATGTTTGTTTTGTGGTACTGGGAATTGAACCCAGTTCTTTCACCCTAACCTACATCCCCAGCCCTTTTTACAATTTTGTGGCTGGGGATGTAGCTCAGTGGTAGAGTACTTGCCTAGCATATATGAGGTCCTGGATTCAATCCCCAATACCATGATAAAATAAAATTTTTATTTTGAAGCAGTATTGTGTTAAGTGAAGTAAATTACACAGGCTGGCCTCAAACTTGCAATCCTCCTACCTCTCAAGTAGCGGGGATTGTGGGTGTGCACCAGCATACCTGGCTCATTGGTTGGTTTGGTTTGGTTTGGTTGTTTGAGACATGGTCTTGCTGTATAGTTCAGACTGCCCCTGAACTAATCATATAGACAAAGCTGGCCTCAAACTTGTGGCAATCCTCCTGCCTCAGCCTCCCAGTGCTGGGATTACAAGTGTGTTCCACCATGCTCAGTTTATTATATATATATATATATATATTTAATTGTATTTATTTGTTTATTTAGTGTGTGTGGCCAGCTCAGCCCACCAGGGGGTGGGGCTGGCTGGCATGTGGTCCTGGGGGATTGAACCGTGGTCCTGTGCTTTGTTTAGCCTAGCTTGTTCTAAGTAGGTGCTTTAGACCACTGAGCCATCTCACCAGCCCTCAGTTTATTATATTTAAAGAGCAAAAGCTTTCAACTGTGCTCAAGTTTGATTTATGTTTTTGTTTTTGGTACCAGGAATTGAACTCAGGACCTTGCGCTTGCCAGGTAGTCACTTATGCTACTGAGCTTTCTCTCTGGCCCTTTTCTGTCTTTTTGAGACAGGATCTTGCTATGCAGTTCAGACTGACCTTGAGCTCACTTTGTAGCTCAGGCTGGTCTCGAACTCTCGAACTCTCCCTATCTCAGCTTCCTGAGTGTGGAAGTATAGGTGTGTGCCACTATGCCTGGTCAATTTATGTATTATTTTTTCTTTTATATACCTTTTAGTGTCATATCTAAGAATACTTTGCTTAATCCAAAGATTTACAAAGATTTACTTTTGTTTTCTTCTTAAGATTTATAGTTTTATTTTCTTTAAAGATTTATAATTTTAGCTCTTACATTTCAGTTGGTTGAGTTATTTTTTGTGTATGGTGAGGGTATAACTCCATCTTTTTTTGCATGTGGATGTCCAATAGTAGTAGTACAATTTGTTGAAAGGACATTTTCTTATTGAATTGCCTTTTGTTGCGGATTGACAACTGGTGGGCACCTTGTAACGCCCAGATGAACTGACTCAGTGTGGTACTTGGTGGGGGGGGGGCTGAGGTCATTGCCAACAGCGTAGAAAAGAGAACTGCAGTGGAAGTTTTGGGGGCTTGGGGACTCTCTTTGTAGCACTGACTCTCTTGACACGGATTCGGTTATTGCCATCGTTAGAGGACCCGGACCTTGGTGTCACTGATGGTGCCTGTGGTACTTTTCCGAAGCACTCTGGTTCTTATCTTGAACCTCGCTTCCTGGCTCCAGTGGAGATCCCTCAGCCTGCTGACACAGATCCTTCATCCTGCTGGCACAGACTTTCTAGCTTCCGCCACTGACCTTGGGGCCTGCCCAGAGCAGATTCTTGAAACAGACCTGCAAAAAAGAAAGAAAGAAAGACAGACAGACCTGCATGAGATGCGGGCTCTAGGCCTCTGGATGGACTCGTGGTGGGTGTTGTCCTGGGCTCCAGGTCTTGAGCTGGACTCATGCAGGACACTGCCATGGGAGCCAGGCCCTCAGCTGGATTCTTTGGGTCTTTAGTGTGTGGACAGATTTCCTGCACTGTTTTGTGTTTGACTCTTTGGGCGACCATTATAGAATAATCCTATAAATTAGGTGTCCTGTATTAAATGGTTTTCCTTGTAAACCCTGGTGACAACACTTAAGCATCTTTGTCAAAAATAAATTTTGTTGGAAAGACTATCCTTTTTTTGTTGAATTGCTCTAGCACCTTTGTCAAAAATAAATTGGGGGGTGGGCAGAGATATGGCTCAGTAGAATAAACGCTTGCCTGGCAAGCACAAGGGCCTGAGTTCAATATCCGGTTCTGCAAAAATAAATAAATAAATAAACGAATAAATAAATAAATTTAAATAAATAAATAAATTGAGGGCTGCGGAGATAGATCAGTAGGGCCGGCCAAATAGCTCAGCAGGGGCTGGAGAGATGGCTCAGTGGTCTAAAGCACCTACTTAGAACAAGCTTAGCAAAGCACAGGGACCGCG